AGATACCTGCCCATTCTTGCAACAGCCGAAGCTGTTGTATGGCCCTAGCACAGTGTTAGATGAAGCGAGAAACTTTTCATGTAACCCTTTATCGTTCACGATAAGACTAATATTGTCAACAACAATATATGTGTAGTTCGCCGGGTTAACTCTATCGTGAAAGTACTATGACCTCACGAAAGAACTTGTCGTTTAGCTGCTGTTTTTGCTTTCAGACCGTAGACTTTTAAAGCTTTATAGAACGCAGAACTCATTGGATAGCCAGAACATACCTTGAACGAAAGACCACGGTGAAGTATAAGTATTTACGCTTTTGTTCCGTCCTATAAGTGCCCAGTTCTAATATTTATTTATCCCGTTTAAAAAGTAAATATAATAATATATAATAATAATAATAGCCTTTATTCTCTCCCGATACGCAAACCCTCCAGTTTCACTTCCTTTCGCCCTAAAATACGCCCGCATTGCGTTCTGATTCATGTTAGGCGTCCAGCGCAAGCGGCGTTATCCACCAGCGGCGGGTGCCGATTGGTGGATCCGAGAGGATCCTGCCGACACCAAGCCGACTGGTGGGGATGATGGATGCGAGGTACTGCTTGGTGGTCGTGCAGTACCCTGCGCTGGCGGCCCCCAGGCAGCGGCCCTATGCGCGTTCTTCGATTTTCCATCATCCATATTAAGGTGGGGCGTCGTTTAACGGAAGACGCCCCCAGACCGGCACCGTATTCTGGGATATGGCCATATGCACAGACGGGCTATGCGCCCTCACTTTTGCCGAGGCACGGTGCAAACACCATTGGCAAGGCGCAGACTGATTGCGCCGACGTAACAGTTCTGTCACTTGAACTGTTACGCCGGTGGGCGATGGGGTCGTCACTTCCCTTCACTTGAGCGCCCTTACCATGCACAATCGCGAGGTGTGCAGCCTCCGCAACTACTTCCTGGCGAGATCGGATGAGTCAATCTACACGGACGTCATTAGTTGTGATAAAGGACTTACCCCTCTATCCTTAGCCAACGAGCAATGGCAGGACCCGGGAGTACTGAGCGTTTCCGACCGGGAGGCCGTATGGAAGGAGAAAGAGCTCCACGGGAGGTTCTACAAGGCCCTACACGAGCCTTTCGTAGATACTACTGCCTCCCTCAACTGGCTACGTTTCGGTGACCTCTTTGGGGAAACCGAAGGTTTTGTCTGTGCGATAAAGGATCAGGTTATTAAGACGAACAACTATCGGAAATACATCCTAAGGGATGGCCCGTCGACATCCGTCGAGTTTGTCGCCATCCCGGGGAGTCGCTTCGGCATGTTATTTCCGGTTGTTCCATGCTTTCTAACTCTGAGTATCTGCATAGACACAACTTAGTAGCCAGAATCCTACACCAGGAGCTCGCTCTGAAATACGGCCTCGTGGATCGGAAACTGCCGTACTATAAGTACTCTCCGGAGGCCGTGCTCGAAAATCACCGCGCCAGGCTCTATTGGGACCGGCCCATCATCACGGACAGGACGATTGTCGCGAACAAACCTGACATCGTGGTGATGGACCGGGCACAGTCGCGGGTATTTTTGGTCAATATTACCATTCCATATGACGAGAACCTCGTGAAAGCCGAAACAGATAAGAAGACAAAGTATCTGGACCTGGCTCACGAGGTGAACGACATGTGGGATGGTGTGCCGACCGAAATTATCCCGATAGTCGTGTCTGCGAATGGGTTAATCCCAGTCAGCCTCTCCAAATATCTGAGGCGACTGGGAATCCGAGACGGATCGCTCCAAGCTCAAATGCAGAAGGCGGTGCTCCTCGATACCGCCCGCATCGTCCGCCGGTTTCTCTCCCTATCGCCCTAACCCTCGGCCGTTTGGTCTCCCCTGCCGAGGGCTTCCGTCTGGTTGGGTCCTATTTATATATGTGTAAAGAAAAATATTATTTTCTTTTATTTAAATATTTTCTTTAATTTAAATATTTTCGCGCTCCGGCCGTTGATAAAATTTATTTTAAAAACTATGTTTGTACGCCGGATTATAACAGAAAAAGAATTAAGCTGTCATATGAAGCAATTCATGAAAATAATCTGATTACAAAGATATTTAATAAGTAAAATAGTGATTTAGGAATCGACATTGTGATTATTAACATTAATCATATAGTCCGTTTGCTGCCCCAGTTACATTAGCTTATAAAAGAGAAGAAAATAAAAAATCAAGACTGTGCATAGATTTTCGTGACTTAAATAAAATTGTTGTTCCGCAGTCACAGCCGTTTCCACTTATTGAAGACCTAATAGTAAAAACAAGAGATTGCAAATTTTTCTCAACATTGGACCTGAATTCAGCATTTTGGTCAATACCTCTGCGTGTCACAGACAGATACAAAACTGCATTCGTCACACAGGAAGGTCACTTTCAATGGACTTGTTTACCATTCGGCCTAAAAACCTCGCCAGCAATATTCCAGAGAATAATGTGTAATGTTATACGAAAACATAAACTCGGAGAATTCACCGTAAGTTACATCGACGACATCTTGTTGTTCTCAAAAACTTTCTCAGAACATATCGGGCATTTAAAACAGTTATTTCAAGCAACTAAAAAGTGAAGGTTTTAGACTGAAATTTTCTAAATGCACATTTGCAGCAGACTCAGTTAAATACCTGGGCCACATAATACAGAATAATTCAGTTAGACCTCTAAAAGACAACTTGATATCAATAAAAAACTTACCTACTCCAAAAATCGCAAAAAAATGTGAGACAATTTTTAGGAAAAATAAACTTTTATCACAAGTATGTGCCAAACATAGCAATAAAATTAGAACCATTGCATAACCTTTTGAGAAAAGGACAAATCTTTAACTGGACTAAGGAATGCCAAGAGTCATTTGATGAGATGAAAGAAATATTATGCTCTCAACCAATATTAACCATTTTTGATCATAACTTGCCAATTCACATATACATAGATGCCAGTATACTTGGAGTAGGAGCAGTCTTAAAACAGCCACAAGAAAACAAAGAAGAGAAACCAGTAGCATATTTTTCAAATAAATTGAACGAAGTTCAAAAAAGGAAAAAAGCTATATATCTGGAATGCTTAGCAATTAAAGAATGTGTAAAGTATTGGCAACATATGTTGATAGGTAGGAAATTCACTGTCTTCTCCGATCACAAGCCTTTGGAAAATATGAATATAAATCAAGAACGGATGAAGAATTAGGAGATATTAACATACTACCTATCACAATATGATTTCCAAATTAAATACTCTCCAGGAAGATATAACATTGAAGCTGATTGTCTAAGCAGAAATCCAGTCTTAGAACCAAATGAAAACCTGGATGAACAATTAAAAGTGGTTAACATGATTAAACTAGAAGCTATCCTAAAAGATCAAGTTAACAATAGAAATATACAGTCCATAAAAGAAAAATTGTTGAAAAAAAAAAATGTTTATTATAAGAAAGTTAAGAAAAGGGAAAAAATAATTCTATCAGAGAAATTAGTATAGGATTAATCAAAAGTGTACATACAAACCTAGGTCATTTAGGACTTAATCAAATGCAAAGAATGATTAGCTCATTGTATACAGCAGAAAATATGACAAAAAACATAAAAAGTATCTGCGAAAGTTGTATAGTATGTATAAAGAATAAGTCCAGAGGACAAAATAAATATGGATTGATGTCCCAATTGGGCCCCGCTACAAAACCTTTTGAGATATGTTCCATTGATACCATTGGAGGCTTTGGGGGTTCAAGGTCGACAAAGAGATACTTGCACCTGCTATCAGATCATTTCACTAGGTACGCATACATTTCAACATCAAGTACTCAAAATGCAAATGATTTCAATAAACTAGTGAAAAACTGTGCAGAAACAGACGATATCGGCATGATTCTCTCAGACCAATATCCAGGTATAAATTCCAAGGAATTCAAAAGATTTTTGGATGAAAAGAATATTCCAATAATTTTTACTGCAGTGAATTCGCCCTTCTCAAATGGTTTAAACGAAAGACTAAATCAAACGTTGGTCAATAAAATAAGATGTAAGATAAACGAAAAAGACACTAAAATTGCATGGGCAACTATAGCACAAATGTGTGTAAAAAAATTATAATGAAACGGAGCACACTGTCACTGGTTATGCTCCAAAGTATCTTTTAAACGGCACAGATGTTGCAATTCTGCCTAATGAACTAACACGTAAGAAGACCGAGCAAGATCTGATCCAAGACAGGAAAAAGGCTCTGGTAAATACAATGAAATCACATAATTACAACAAGAAAATTTACGATAAAAATCGAAGACATATAGAATTCAAAGTTGGTGATGCTGTTTTTGTGGACAATGGAAACAAATTGAATAGGAAAAAGCTTGATGAACTGAGAATCGGACCCTACAAAATTATAGAAAAAATATCAACATCAATTTACAAGATAAACACTGACTGTAAGAAATTAGAGTCAAAACTATTTCCATATATCGAAACTAACTCCTTGCTATGCTTGAGAGACCATAAAGAGGATGTGTAGGTAGTCGTTATGTTTTTATCTTCTCTGGGAGGGGGAGATGTAAAGAAAAATATTATTTTCTTTTATTTAAATATTTTCTTTAATTTAAATATTTTCGCGCTCCGGCCGTTGATAAAATTTATTTTGAAAACTATGCTTATAACGCAACGGAACTCTTTGGAACGCGCACTTGAATCCCGTCAACGCGTCTCACGCGACGCGCCTCAATCGAATGTAATTGGTCCACGACCGCGCCGTCATCGCAAGCTCCCACCGCGCCTGCGCGACTAGACCGACGCCGAATCCTCCATCTTTTTGGCGGTGGATGTGTGACGCGAACGTTTAAAAAACAATTATTAAACTAGACGAATATTACAGAGTTTGAGTTTTACTACAAAGCAACCCACTAAATCACCACTCAATAACATTAAAATGGACGCCCAACTAGTGGCTTTGGAGTAAACCTGAATTCTGTGAATCATACAAGATGACAAAACCGCGCACACGTCGTCAGTCTCGTCGACATTCCGCCTATTTCGACCCGGCAGAGGACGATTCTTCCCCGCCGCCGACTGCAACGGGAAACATTTCCATCAACGATATGGCTGCAATGATGTCCACGTGGCAACGCAACCAAGAGGAAACATTTGAGAAACTTCTGCACACAGTTCTCAATCACTCGCAGCGGTCATCGCCCCCGCCCGCTCAACCTGCACATGGAAACTTCGCCGCGTGCAAGGCTCGCTACAGCGGAGCGCCGGACGAATCACTTGACGGATTTATAGACGCCGTAGAGGCCTACAAAGAATGTGCAAATGTAAGCGAAACTAATGCACTACGTGGGCTGTCAATGTTGTTAACTCATGAAGCCGCGACATGGTGGCAAGGAGTTAAGTCCACCATGAACAAGTGGGACCACGCCCTCACATCCCTAAGAGGTGCGTTTGGTGATAGCCGACCTCCACATCGAATATACAAGGAGCTATTCGCTAACCCACAACAAGCTAGTGAGAAAACAGAACTCTTCATCTCTAAAACTCGAGCGCTACTATCACGCCTGCCAAAGGACGATCTGACAACCAAAGTACAGATGGACATGGTGTACGGACTACTACATAGTAAAATACGCGAGCGTTTGAGAAGAGAGGAGATTGATACATTCGACACACTCTTCAGAAAGTCTAGAGAGATAGAAGAATCTTACGACGTGACTCTATCAACTAGTGGCCTTCAGAACAAACTGCGCCAGCGCCAGTTTCCGCCACCTTCTCGTCACGCCGCAAGCATCGCCGCCGCCCAGAGGTCAACGACCGCGCCGCCACTACCACCGCAGAGCGCCCCCAAGGCGCCTGCGCCCGCCGCTGAGTCCAGCGCCCACGGCTCCTACCGCCGTTCTCCTCGCTGCTCCGTAGTGTCGCCCTCACCGTCGTTTCTACAACCGCATGGGTCTTCTACTCCGTTCGCAAACGCCAGACGTCGATATTGTTTCTATTGTAAAAACTATGGACATACACGTGATGAGTGTCGTAGGTTAGCAGCTAAAGGCAAACAGGACATTGATAACACCGCCGACCCCGTCCCGTCATGTTACGGATGCAACGAGAGAGGTGTCACTCGATCACAGTGTGCTAAATGCAATTCGGACTTCTCTGCGTGTGAACACGACCGTCCGAAAGGCGCGCTGATGGGAAATTACGGTACATGGTACTCTACCACTGTTATTAAATCATTTTGTGATAAGGATGAGTCCCAGGCGAGTTCCACTTCATCTTATAACAGTGTGTCACATAAAGGTTTCCCCTCGAGCATGTTATCACTCCCCGAGTCCAGCTTTGATTCATTGAACCATAAGTCGTTATTGGTAAATAATACTGCACGGGAATGCTCTGATAATTTTTTGCCTACTCAATTTAAATCTGCGTTACCTGAATTGTTTAAAACTAAAAATAATCACGCAGAGTTTTTACCTAAACAATTTACATCTGTGTTACCTGAGTTATTTTATGCTAACATTGATCACATAGAGTTTTTGCCTATTGATTTTACTACATTTTTGCCATATCAATACTTTCTTTGTGATAATGGGTGTGTATTTAATTTAAGTCGTGATACTAATATGTTTGAGTGCATGTCACATGATGTGCCTCCTCCGGCTTCTAAGCTCACAAACGTGCTTGGTTATTATTCTATAAGTAAGTACGATTTGACCACAACCGAATCAGTCCCATTTTCTACAACTAATGACAAGAGTAGGGTGACTATGATTTTTTCCGGACATCTGCGGAAATCGAATGCCGAAGTTAGGGTGACCAAGACAAATGTTTTACATGGTCAATCCGGAAACATAAATAACTTGAAAAATAAACTTACTACGCCTACTAGGTTGACCATGCAGGACGATTGTAATAGTAATCAAAAATTATTTTCTGATGTTGAGTCACAATTTTTATTAAATGGAGCGACGACATGTTCGAACATTTCTCTGTCGACTCTTGATTCAACTAATTCAGACGCTCATCCACAAGTGTCAGGCACTTGTCAATCACAACGGAGACCGATTTTAGGAGTGGAAATTCTAGGTGTAAGGGGTACTGCACTATTGGATACAGGTGCTAAAGGGTGTATTGTGGGTGCTTCCTTATATCAGGTGCTGCTTAAACATAATCATTCCTGTCAAGAAACCACTAAACGCGTTCGTCTCGCTGATGGCTCCGTGCAGATTCGTGAGTTGTTGGTTACTAACCTGCAAGTAAAAATAAAAAATAAACTGTTGTGTTTGGAGTTCATTATTTTTCCAGAGACAAAATCCAATGATACTATTCTTGGTATGGATTTTATTGCCTCAGCGGGGATAGTGTTCGATTTCGCCGCTTCAATTTGGTATTTCTCTGGTGATGAAGTGACTTACCCATTGGAATATGAACTTTCCAGACCATGCGTGTCCGTATCCTCTGCAGATTTCCTACGTGAGGAAGAAGGAGTTATGCTGCATCCTGAAGAGAGACTGCTGTTGTCCGACCTCCTGAAACAGAACAAAGACCTGTTCGAACAAGGGGGAGGGCCAACTCCCTACGCAGAGCATCACATCGACACCGGCGATAATGCTCCTATTGCCGTTCCACCGTATAGGCTCACTCCAGCAAAAAAAAGAGATAATGAAGGCAGAGTTGGAGAAAATGTTAGCAGACGACGTGATTGAAGAGTGTGAGTCTGCGTGGTCTGCACCTGCTCTTCTTGTCCCGAAAAAGGACGGATCTTTTAGGTTTTGCGTCGACTACCGTCGCCTTAATGCGATCACCAAGACCGATAGATATCCAATTCCCTTAATCGATGATTTATTGCAGATGACCAAACGGGATTGTCACATGTCCACCATTGACCTACGTTCCGGATATTGGCAAGTCAATGTAGCTGAAAAGGACAGAGACAAAACTGCTTTTATAAGTCCTTTTGGTACGTATAGGTTCAAGCGCATGCCCTTCGGCCTAAAAAATGCACCATCTACCTTCCAGCGACTGATCGATCGTTTCCGCTCAAGCTCGTCGCTGCAGGACATCACTCTGTTGGCTTATTTGGATGACATCCTGGTGATCACACAGGGAAGTTTTCAGGACCACCTTCAGGATCTTGACAAGGTGTTTGATAGACTGCGTCACTTTAGACTCCACGCGAACCGCGCCAAATGTCACTTTGTTCGCCAGGAAGTTACATACCTAGGCCATGTGATCACACCCAAAGGAATCAAGCCGGATAGCACCAAAGTCGACGCCGTCCTGAAAATGAAAGAACCACACAATCTCAAACATTTGAAATCATTTTTACAGACCTGTTCCTGGTTCAGGAAATTTATTCCTGATTTCTCGCGCATTGCTGAACCTCTGTCGAAACTTACCCGCAAAAACGAGGCGTGGACCTGGGGTGAAGCACAGCAACGCGCCTTCGACCTGCTAAAGAGTAAGCTTACTAGCGCTCCTATTTTGATACAGGCCGATTACACCCAGCCCTTCTTGCTGCGCACCGACGCCAGCAATTATGCTCTAGGGGCTGCACTGTTACAAGGTGACAATAACAATGAAAAACCAATCGAATACGCCAGCAGACTTCTGACGTCAGCCGAGAGGAATTACTCTACCACCGAGCGGGAAGCGCTCGCAGTCGTCTGGGCAGTAGAAAAGTTCAGGGGATACATTGATGGCCATCTATGCATAGTCAAAAGTGACCACCAGCCACTTAAGTGGTTACTTACACTCAAGTCCCCCAGTGGTCGTCTCATCAGATGGGCCCTGAAACTCCAGGCGTTTGATCTCAAGATAGAGTACTCTCCAGGTAAAGTTAATACCTTAGCTGATACTTTGAGTCGACCTACCTGTAACGGTATCAACGAGTGCGAAGTGTGTTTCGTATCCGTCGACTTACCTCAAGCACTGCCGAGCCAACTCCGAGCCGAGCAGCTTGAAGATCCAGAAGTGGCTAAAATTATTCAAGACCTAGAAAGCATAGACGAACTTACCTCTACTCGGTGGCTGGAACGTGGATATGTACTGCAGCAGGGCGTGTTATATCGTTATGATCCAGATAATGACTCCGAAGAAGCGCAGATGGTAGTGCCAATTTCCAAAAGGGAAGAAATTTTAAAGTCGTTTCACGATTCCCCAACTGCTGGCCACCAGGGTATTGAGCGGACTCTGCAGCGCATCCGTGAGCACTTCTTTTTTCCCGGAATGCGTCGTTACGTCACAGAGTACCTTAAGAACTGTGTGGACTGTCTCAGGTATAAAGCCGCGAACCAGAAACCAGCTGGTCTCCTCCAGACACCCGTCCTCCAACAAAGATCTGAAGTCCTTGCAGTGGATCTTTTCGGTCCCCTGCCTGAAGGAGATCAAGGACAACGTTGGGTCCTTCTTGTTGAAGACGTAGCTACCAGGTGGGTGGAGCTGTTCCCGCTTGTGGAGGCCACAGCAGAAAATTGCGCCAAACTTCTTATAGAAGAATACTTTCTCAGATATGGATTGCCACGTCGAGTTGTGTCCGATAACGGCACTCAATTCATATCCTCAGTAATGCAGCTGTCGATGTTTATTTTAGGGGTTAAACAAGAGCTTATCCCAGTTTACCACCCTGAAGCTAATCCCGCCGAGCGCAAAAATCGAGAACTCAAGGTACAACTGTCTTTGTTAGTAAAAACCGAACACCGGAACTGGCCTAAATATCTTGCCCATGTTCGGTTCGCTATGAACAGCGCCGTCTGTTCCACCACTGGGAAGACCCCCAGCTTTTTTAACGTTCGCTCGCGAACTTCGCACGCCTTTCGAGGTGCACCATGATCTACGTGCAATCTTGGATAAAGAAAACTTTGTGCCTTCGGCCACTCCATATTTGCGTTCCTTCGTACGTGCCTTACAGGATATTCGAGAACATGTTGAGAAAAAACAAGATCAGCGTAAGGAGATAGGTGATGCTGCACGCCGTCCTGTACCTTCTTATAAAAAGAATGATTTGGTCTTGCTCAAAACCCACGTACTGAGCAATGCTTCGAAAGGAACTACTCGCAAATTCATGCCAAAACGAGATGGCCCATATCGCGTTAAACGAGTTGTAACTCCCACTACTTTTATACTTTCGAATTTGACTGACGACGACACTGTCATAGGTAAATATCACAGTTCGGACCTGACCCCCTTTACTCAAAAGGCGGATAACAAGCAGACCACACCCGTTATTCCAAAGAAAGGTAGGGGTAGGCCGCGTATTAAACAGTCAGGTACCAAGTTGGGCCCGGGACGTGTTACCAACTTGGAGGGGGAGCCTATAATCACGCAACGGAACTCTTTGGAACGCGCACTTGAATCCCGTCAACGCGTCTCACGCGACGCGCCTCAATCGAATGTAATTGGTCCACGACCGCGCCGTCATCGCAAGCTCCCACCGCGCCTGCGCGACTAGACCGACGCCGAATCCTCCATCTTTTTGGCGGTGGATGTGTGACGCGAACGTTTAAAAAACAATTATTAAACTAGACGAATATTACAGAGTTTGAGTTTTACTACAAAGCAACCCACGAAATCACCACTCAATAACATTAAATGTTTGTACGCCGGATTATAACAGAAAAAGAATTGCGCGACTAGACCGACGCCGAATCCTCCATCTTTTTGGCGGTGGATGTGTGACGCGAACGTTTAAAAAACAATTATTAAACTAGACGAATATTACAGAGTTTGAGTTTTACTACAAAGCAACCCACGAAATCACCACTCAATAACATTAAATGTTTGTACGCCGGATTATAACAGAAAAAGAATTAAGCTGTCATATGAAGCAATTCATGAAAATAATCTGATTACAAAGATATTTAATAAGTAAAATAGTGATTTAGGAATCGACATTGTGATTATTAACATTAAATGTCGTTTCTTTAATTACAGGTAAAGTTTTAATAGTAAAATCTTTTATTTTTGTTATTTTAATTATTATTTGTTATAGTTTCAAAATCTTACAATAAATCTTTAATTACAGAGAAACTCAATTGTGTTTTGATTGCTGTGTCATCCTAAACACTGAAAAATATTCTTATATATGTATTATACACAACATTTATATGTATATGTTTATTTTTATCCATAATATTTATTTTATATATGCAATATGTATCTATATTTTTATTTTTATTTATAAACCCAACCAGACGAGAAAACAAATGAATATCCCCCCATAATAGCCTTTATTCTCTGACCATCTTAGAGTTTTAACTTACAAACTACTTATAAAAACAACATTTTTAAAATCTTAAATTAAAGTTAAATCAAATATTTTAGCAATTACACAGTTGGTCAGGTTGTCTTTTGACATAGGTCTCCCCCAGTTCCCTCCACTTATCTCTGTCTCGAGCTGTCCGCCGCCATCCTTTAGGTAAATCATCAGAAAAAGTAAATACAAGTCATTCAAATAAATACAAGAAATCATTGATATTATACTCGGTTACAGATAACATCGATCTTGTGACAAATTGGCCGGTAAGTTTCAGAAATCGAATACTTATTAACGAGATTGAGTATCGGAGCTCTCTCATTTGGCAGCAATCATGAAGTTTTGACAAGGCTTGATCAATTGCCAATGAGTCCAAATAATCCATGATTGGACATTAATCGAATTAGTTTATCAACTTTGCGAGTTAATACTTCAAAGTTTTAATGTCAACTTTTCATTTTGGAGTACATGACGTCCTTTTAAGCTAGGCTTACTTTTTGACATTGCATATACGAGTATCTGCTTGATAAGATTAAATGAATAGTAAATCAAGGCTCTCTGTTAACATCTACTCTTAGCGAAAATGATCGTATATTATTACCAGCTATTTGAGTTCTAACCAGCAGTTTTACCTGAAACAATGTTTCCTAGTCTATATCACACAAGTGACGGTGTACAAAAACAGCCCACGCAACTTAGCAAGTGCTAATTTTAAAATATTAGTACAACATAATGTTTACAATAATCAACTCGCGAAATTATGTATTTATTGTATTGTTTTCGAATCAAGATCTAATCTTCGCTTAACCCAATTAGCAATTCAACCGTTTCCCCCCACAAGCGCAACCTGTCACCTTCACACCTGCGTAAATATAAATAATGAGAAGGGGCACCCCCTAACTAATTAGTTCTAACCTACTTACCCTGCATTTTCTCGTTCTCACGTGACCTTTGGACGCTATGTCTGATATTCACACCCGAGAAACAGCATGTTTCTCGGGCGTGAATATCGTAAACTAAAATATTAAAACATTAAAATCTTTATTCTCTCCATTGATTACTTAAATTTTATTTAAGAACGTTGCATGAAATCTTTGTAACTTACTATAAATATTTAACGTTAACGTAAAATATTTAACGTTAAAAAGAATTAAACTGACTGTTTCCGAATCGCAATGCGGATATTGTTACTCGGCCTCCAGTTTGACAGACTGCTTACTCAAATATCTTTTTACATTTAGTTCGAAGCTGCTTCTGATTATTAAAAAAATATTATTTTTTTTGGGGCTGATTATTTTTTCCGCAGAACTTTGTAGCACCTATGTTACGTTCAATATAAATATAAACGTAGTAAAAGTGTGATCAGGCTACTGTGTGATAGGGGAATTCCACAAGGAGCTATTCCGGAGCCAATTCTGTTCTTATTTAGACACAATGTCTGGTACAGAAAAGTTTCTTATATATAGTAGTAATTATTTTGAAAGCTCACGTCATAATTATTTAAATCAAATAGAAAACGTCAAATTAAAGAAATACTAAATACCTCGCGGTAAACAGGAAAAACAAATGTGCCATGAGACAATTACACAATTTTTTTTAGATGTACTTTAATGCGTAATAGCAATAATAAATGGGTCGAAAGAGAATCATTGAGCTTTGATACTGGCTGACTGAAATGAGAGCTTTATAACATTTCACATTACTCTGAAGGTCAAAGCCGGGCTAGACACAACATTTATGGTACGAGAGCAACCGTTACGGGTTGTCCATTAGCTGGGTTCGCAAATCGAAATAAACATCTTAACGCTGACGTACATGTAAAACTCCTCTAGTATTGCTTAGCATCAAACATTAGTTTGTTCATTTATTTACAATAAAAAATGTATTCGAGAATATTATGTATGCACGTTAAACTACCTATGATTATTTCTTTTTTTTTATGTGAAAAAGTAGCAAGCGAGCTGGCAGTTCGTCTGATGTTAAGTGATAACCGTCGTTCATGGACATTTGCAACACCAACAGGGCTTCAAATGCGTTGGCATCTTTTAATAAAGTGGGCCCCGATCACCTCACTCAACATACGAAACGCAGAAGTGTAATACTTCCACTTCACGCCGGTCTTCTATGAGGTTGTGTTACTTTCCGTTTTTTTTTTTTTTTTTTTTTTTAACGTGGGAAAAATCCTTTATGGATCCCCCCCCGCCTTGTGGATAAGCAGCAGGGGTATGTGGGAGTTACACGTACCCACTAAAAAACTCACGTTACACCTACGCTATCGCTTTGCCGGGGACACGGGAACACGAAAACGCTATCTTCCCGGCGCGACTGTAGCCTTCTCAAGCCTCCTCTCCCCGGGTGCTTAGACCCAGTCCAGCCAAATGGTGCCGTGTCGGTGCAATGAACACGGCACCCCTCTCAAGCCCTCCACGGGCAGCAGTTAGTCCCACATCTGCCGCCCCGGGGCGTGTTACTTTCCTGGGCCAACCTGCCCAGCAGTGAGGTGAAGTGACTTTCGTGGCCCTAACACATGATCTCAACTAATCGCAGATCACAGCTTAGGTCTAAATTCTTCTAATCTCGTTTTCCAAACGTCCCGTTTTCTAAGCACCGGAGTTCGAACTCAGTTTGCTGGGGTATGTTGAATTAAAAGCGAGTGTTTTGACACTTAACTGCATCGGCTCATTTTATTAATAAACAGGACGAAGATATTTTATGGTCCTACCGAATGAGTAGTGCGTTTTCTCTGTGATATTTCCTGCAGATAGAATGCTATTAGATTAGGATATTAGCCAGTTCTTCCCACTTGATTTTTTATTTAAATTAACCAATGTTATTTAATACCTGCTAATATTCACGTAAAATAGAGTATGGACGTAACTCATTTAGAAATGTTCGCGCAGTCGCAAAACTGTTCTACAGTTTTTACGTTACCGCATTAAAATATATATATAGTATAAATTGTCAAAATCGTTGTATTACATCGATATAAAAGTATAGGAATACGTTTAATGTCCTAACTGCAGCTATTATTAATTTTCCGGGTCAACTGATTTTTTATATACAAAACCACTATTATTGCATAAAGTCTGAAATAAATTGAAATATCTTTAGCATATAACAATATTCAATACAACTAAAATATGACTATTTAAAACTATAACTCGCTTTGATTCGAAACTGAACCTCATACCCGTCGGCCGTTTAAAAATTACTGAAACATACCTTCTTCAGTCTAGAAAGTACAAATTAAAAGAAAGTGATAGATCTTTCAGTTTTTTAAACAGAGAAACAAAAAAACAACATTTTTTTAACATGTCGATTACTAATTTATGAAAAAATATTTAATTTCAAATTAAACATTACTTTAAAAAGATCTAATAATGTTCAAGAATAATTCGGTACCTTTCAAATAATACGGGTTTCCTTTCCTCTAAAAATATAAAAAAAAAATCTTTTATTTTTAATAACTAATGACTTACCTTGCAACTATTCGGGAGCGGAATTCAAAATTCGAATGGTCACAACACTCGGCCGTGGGAACGCGCTCTATCGCATTGGCCTCTACCGAATACGTACCGGATACGTCTACGCCCTACGACTATCGCTGGGTCTGTGAGACGCGGTTGCGCGGGAAACTCGCGGGCTGTTGATAGGCAGTTGCTCCACGATATAATCTTTAATTATATTTTTTTTTAAAACATGCACCACGATTTTTTTAAAAGAAAGTCGTTTAAAATGGTCGTAATGTCGTATTTGAATGCAGAGGTGTATACGAAATTTAATCTCTAGGGAAAAATGCAACAGAGAATTCCATTTTAAAAACATTTTATGTCGATATTATATTACAACACGTTGTCTATTTAGTAAATTTTTCATATCGCGTATTATGTTACTTCATTATAATCAAATAAATTTCTCAGAGGGCGATGATAGGTATCATAACTTTAAACAATTTAGATCTGACCTACTATATTAATTTCCGTCGCATAAAAACCTATATTTATTTTTACAACAGTTTAAATTATTGTTTAAAACAATAAACGCTGTCACATTTCGCATAATCACTCGGGAATAAACAAACTTTCCGGGACTTTCTCTTTAACTCTTCGGGAATAAAACGCTAGCCTTTCAACCAGGTTAAAATTCGATATCATGTGAGCTATTATCTCACCTAATAAAATTATTTGCTAAAA